CCGGGCTGAGGGACTGCCCAAGTGCATGAATTTCATGCACCGGGCCTCCAGTATGTATATAATTGACCCAGACTATCTGGAAAATAACCCACTTTCAATTGTATTAATCAGAGAAACTCCCCCTCCTTTTTTTCCCCACTTTGCTAATGCTAACACAATGCTTACCACTAAGAGACATTTAATGAACACTTGCTGGTGAGCTGACTGATAACAGAACCCTGACTGTAAAGGAGCCTTATAAGTAATTAAGACATGTCAGAATCAAAAACAATATTTCAATCTCTAGATTACTATCCCATCTCTCAAAGCACTAAAGTAAATCAATATGAACTGTAAGAAAAGGATCTACACTTTAATTCTAAAGTTTTACTGACTAATCATCTTGCACATAAATGATTAATTACAATTCATGTTTGTCTTAATCATTGTTGTCCACCTTAAAACATTTATTTACTTTATGTAACCATGACATATAAACTCATTGTTATTTTTCCAAGAAATAAAAATTAACATTGTGCATTAGTTATTTTCTAAATTGTTTGCAACTATTATTTTTTCAGCATATACTTGTACTAAAAACTGACCAATATCAAGAATCATGCAAAGCAAAATATAGAGAAAAATTAAAGCCACATTTTCCTATAAATTTATTTAGAAAGCACATTGAACTGAGAGCTAGGAGAACTGAATTTAGATCTGACCTGTGCAATTGCTAAGGATAAAAGTCACTTACACTTTTTTTGTAAATGGCAGTAATCAGATTCTTCTAGCTCTCAAATTCTATAATTAATTATCTAGCTAACCATTTCCTCCACACATAATTATATCCTATGGCACTATGCTAATGTTATATGGAGAACTAAGGCATGTACCCCAATGCCCACGCAGATGAGTGGCATGCAATTAATGCATTAGTGTGTCACGATCAAAGCAGGTGGGGCATCAGAGGATGGAGTAGTACCTGCTAATTCTCAAGGCTTTCATGAGAAACGTCACTTAGCCAGAAGCCTTAAGCTGGGCTCACGGCTGGTGAACACAGTGGCAGCGGCAAGAACCTCTCCCACCTCTGTGGCAGCGCTAAGGCTTTCATGAGAGAGGTGGCTTCTAACTGTACCTGGAAGCACAATTAACAGGGAAAATAAATTAGAAGCAACAGGGGACAGGCCAGGTTTAGAAAAGAGTAAACTGGCCATTTCTTGTAGAATTATGGGACTTCTGGAAACAGAAATAATATATGCGACCAAAGGAAGTTCAGGGATTGCAACTTTTATTAGGGAGATAGGGCTAAGGTAATGGTGGCAGTTGAAAGTGTATTTTTAAAAAAATAAAACTATTATATTTTTGAAATATACTCACAACAATTTATATGATGACTAAAGGCCCAGTGCACAAAATTCGTGCACGGCGGGCGGGAGGTGGGGAGGGGTTGGGGGTTGTCCCCCTCAGCCCAGCCTTCACACTTTCCAATCTGGGACATCCCTCTCACAATCCTGGAGCGCTGGCTCCTAATCGCTCACCTGCCTGCCTGTTTGGTTGCCCCTAACTGCTCCCCTTGCCGGCCTGGTCACCCCACGCAGCCTGCTTGTTCAGTCGTTTGGTCGTCCTTCTCTAACCCCACTGCTGGCTTGGTTGTAGGCAGCCATCTTGAGGATGTGATGGTCAATTTGCATATTACCTCTTTATTATATAGGATGCTTTAAAGATTATATTAAAGTTGAGAGAAATTGAAGATAGGGGACCAGTTGCTTTAAGCTGTAGTTTTTAGTAGTCATTGCTTTAGTACTGAAAAGCAAGTACTATTGATTTGTTTTTATTAAGGAGTCCAAATATATTCTTTATTAGTAAGTTCCACAATTGATCCTTCTGTAAAATTAGATTTTCCCAGAAGATGATGACATTTTAGTTTGTAGACATGTCTATTTTCAGGTTTTATTTCCTGTCTTTCATTTCTGTTATCTTCTCATTAATCATTTTTTTTCTTTGAAAAAGAATTGATTTTCTTATTAGTTTGGAACTTTGGCAACCAGAATTTACTCTCTTTGCTAAGTCAATTCTTATTTTTTTCTGTGCTCTTTAATTGCATTTTGGTAAACCTTTTATCTCCTATTCTGACAATGAGGGAGTGAGCTGGAAGAGTTTACAAATACTTGTTTTGTCTTGAAAAAAGATCCAAAATGTTGGATATATTTTCTTCTGGGAAAAGATATTCTTCATTTTTTTTTTCATATTTTGGTAATTGGTGTGTTTCTTTTTAATTTCCATCAAAAACAGTCTGTGGAGTAGTCTCATGTTCATACCTTTCACTCCTGCCTTCACTGTACTTTATACAGTAGTTTCCTTTTATAAAAGAAAAGGATAATGCACACACAATTAATTTCACGTGTGTGTGTGTGTGTGTGTGTGTGTGTGTGATTAAAACAGTGCCTGGTGTGCACATGTTAGTTGTGATGATGATCATGATCATCATCATGATCATGATCATCATCATCACCATGCTGACTTTTTACTTTAGCTATACTTTCAATTTTTATAGGTATTTTACAACAGTTTTATAGTCATTTGGACTCCTAGAGTTTGTTTTTATAATAAAGCATTTGTAAATATAAGTTGTATACTTTGTAGCCCCTTTATTACTAATTCTATCCTACCTGGGATATATGGATGGGTGCCAGATTTCAACATTCTATATTAAAATGTTTTAGGCTTCACTGTATTGGATATATTCTCTTAAAAATGTGTGGCTTGATGTTTCATTGTTATTGTTTCCTCCTTTCATTTAGTATGAATATTTTCTTGCCTGCATTTCTTTATTTTTTTTTTCTATGAGATTCAATGGAAGCTTTCTCTCTCAAATTTACCTAAAAAAAAAGTCATATTTGGTTTTGTAGAAGCATTCTTTTGTTGGCAGTGCAAAATATCATTTATTGATGTAAACCCAAAGAGGAAGTTTAGAAGGAATATAATTATAACAATTAAGGGAAGAAATCGTGACAATTCGAACTAGACAGTGACAGTGAGTATATAAGCAAAAGAAACTCTAGGAGTTGTTATAGTGTTAAATAAAACTGAAGTGATACGGAACTTATTATAGTGTTAAAACTTGTAGTGTTAAACATAACTGGATTGGATCTGTGGATGATGAAGAGGCTATGGTTTGCATGATTTTTTGGGTGAGTGATATTTGCAACCAGTTTGAGAATATACAGAACGGTGATGATGTCAGTAATGGAGAAAAGAAAAGGAAGTGAGTTCTGTTGAAGTCATGCAGACTCTGAGATTTTTGTACAATATCTAAATAGAGGTTTCTGGTAAGTCTTTTTTTGACCTTTGAAGGGAAATCTGTCTTGGAAGATATGCATTTTGTCAAAATACTTCTAATGGTGAAAGAAATAGTTGCCGATAAAATTACTCACAGAGTTATAAAAAGACCAAATGCATAGCAAATAGAATAATACAAATATTGACAAGCCTATTAACTAAGACAAGTTTTGTGCCAATGAGAGGTAAGCAAACTTCTCAATAGTCAGTTATTTGTATTCCCCAAAATGTATTATTACATTTCTTACATTTCTGCTCAACAATCAGTTCTTAGTATTCTCAAGAATTCTAGAAGTAATATGGAGCAATATATAAAGGGCCTGGCGTCTGGCATCAGATTGAGGTGGATATCTTGAGTCTACATCAAGCCAGCTCTATGACCTAGGATATTCTTAGGGTTGTTTGTTTGTTTGTTTGTTTGTTTGTTTGTTTTAGTCTACTTCCTCATGAGATAAAATGGGGATGAAAATTTTCATCTCATAGTGTTGCCATGAGGCTTAAGTGAATCTATTAGTACTCATAAACCATTCAGCAGATTTTGGCATATAGTAGATACTTAAAACTTCTTTCTCTTATATTTTCCTTATTTCTACCTCCTGGTCTTTATTCATGTCCTCTGCATGGAATGCTGTACTACACCTCTTTCTGCTGTTGTAAATCCCATATATTACTTAAGGCCAGGTTTAATTGCCACACCCTTTCTCCAAGGATTATTTACTTCTTATGACATTAATTCCCCCAGCCCCTGTTGGCTTCTTCAGTTCTTATTATTCTCTTTATTGTTGTTCTTTTCATTTTTTTGTTTCTCTGATGCCATTTGTGTAACTTTTCATAAAGGTTCTATTAATCTTTATACTCCACATACTTCTTAGCCAATGCCTATGTGTTTACATAATAAGGACTGAATATGTATTTGTTGAATTAGTAGTTGAATGACTCCACTAAATAAATAAAACAAATATGAATCCTCAGATTAGATTGCTTATTCTTCTAGATAATGATTTGGAGCAAATGAAGCCACTCACAACAATATTTGTAAAATTAAAGATGTTTTATACAGAATACCAACCATTCTAATTCATTGCTGAGTGCAAAGAGATTCCATCAAACCAGTGTGTGCACAGCTTTATCTCTCCCTTCCTTCAGCAAACTAATGAGTATAATTCCCATCTCAATGAAATGAAAAAAAAAATAAAGGTTTCTGAATATTTCTTATTTCTTAAAGAGAAATGGCTTCTATATAGTTCAATGAAGAGAAATCATTGATTGGTAACTATAGCAGGCAGTGGCCAGATCAGCATGTGTTAAGTGTATGCTCATGTCGGACCTCAGATTAACACACAGTGTCTTGCTTTGTTACCTTGCAGAAATGCTGGAATCCAACAATGTGATCACTTTCAATGGCTTGGCCAACAGCTCCAGTTACCATACCTTCCTTCTGGATGAGGAACGGAGCCGGCTGTATGTTGGAGCAAAGGATCACATATTTTCATTCAACCTGGTTAATATCAAGGATTTTCAAAAGGTATCTTTATTCTAATATATGCACTGAGGTACTTTTAAAACATCTCAAGGATTCTCTAGGTATATAACAGTGTGACAACTGAAAATTTGTTTGAATTAATACTTTATCTTTTCAGATGCAAACAAAAACAATACATTGATTTAACCATCACAAATCAATGGCTGCAGTAAACCATAAAAATCTTCAAGAAAGAAACTATAGTTGTTGTTTTTTAAATGATATAGTTATATCATTTGCCTGCATAAAATAAATACCTGAACCATTTTAGAAATATGTTATAATTTAATTCATGTATATATGTATGTATGTATGTATATACTATGTGTATATAAATATAAATGTCTACCCTTTCTATATTACCAGCAAATACATAGTTCATCAATCACTGTACACATGCTTAATGTCATGTGTCAACTGTGCTTGTAAATAAAATTTATTGGAAAACAGACACTCATTCATTTACATATTGTCTATGTCTGTTTTTATTCTACAGTGGCAGACTTGAGTAATTGTGATAGAGATCACCTGGCTAACAAAGCCTAAAATATTTATTATCTGGCCTTTTAAATAAAATGTTTGCTAAATCCTCATCTGGAAGATCAATTTTCGGTGTCAGGCTTTTGCATATGGGGTCACTTAAGCACTATCTATTTATCAGTTTTATCCTAATCCTTGCTAGTTTTTCCAGCTTATTTAATTAATAAGTTATACAGTTTTGAAAATAAACATTGACTGAAAATATTGTGGAAATTGTGCTACTGCGTCTAAATGCTATTATTCTATGTCAAACATTTTCCCTCACTCAGTATTCCTGGTCTTAATTCTTTGACCTTTATGTTTATATATCTTATCTCTAACATCATCTTATAATTTCCTCAAGAATTATGACACTGTATTATTCCCTATAGACTTTATGACAATAGTATATACTTAGGAAATAAGTTGTTTAAAACATTAAAAATAGGTTCAAAAGAGCTTAATAGACAAATATACTCAAACTGATGTAAATCCTTAAGTAAATTGTATTTACTTTTATAGGCAGTGCGATATAATTAAAATTAAATAATATGTTTGAGGAGGGATGTTTTAAAATTAAAATTATGTTTTCTATTACTAGAATAATGATTTTAAACTCAAACAGGAGATATAACATTATGACACTGTGCAAGTCACCTAACTTTAATTTATTATTTCATTATAGCAGGGGTTGGCGACTGTAGGTTTACAGTTGTTCATATGAAAAATAATACAATAATTAATAAATAATATAAGAATGAACTGTGTTTAGTGTAATCACAACTGTAAACCTACCTTTGCCCACCCCTATTTATTACAAGTCTCATTGTTAGAAGATACACCAAGATATATCCTGGGCATATGGCTCTACTATTTTTTTCATCTATAAAATAATAGGCTATCTTCTACGATAATTCAGTTCTTTTCAATTTTAAAACTAACTGAACATATAAACCAAGTTAAGACTATTCAGAAAAAAAGTAAATATATTTAATATATATCCTGAAGTGATATGTACTCATATTGTCTAGATATATATTCACTCACATATTTATATTTATATATGAATTTTATAAAATGATAAAACATTATAAACACCCAATATTTGAACTGATATAATCTCCTATTATTAAAATATCAAAAATTAAATTGTTGTGCCCCAATACAGATAGGTGTCATTGGATTTGCTAAGGGAAACCAAAAGATTATATTAGAATTTAGATGAGGGTAAATGTTTTAATATGATTGAGGGGAAAGGTATCTTCAGTCCTCTAAGCCACCAGGAACACCTTGGTTATCTACCACTGTCACAGTATTCATGAAATATAGGAACTTTGGAAAGGATGAAGACCAAATATTAGGCATGAAAACACAAACATTTATTTCTTAGTCTGTTTTGCTTACAGTAAAAAGAGTGACTATTTTTAGAGCTATCTATCTAGCTTCATTTCCCCCTTTATCTCCTGAAAGTAAAATAAAGCTACTCTTAGCTATTAAAAAATATACCTTTCTAAGATAGGTTTTTCTAATCCTATCAGCTATTTGTTCTAGCATGTCATGCTGAGATTGGATTAGGGATATGGATCCAGAGCAGTCAATCTCTTCACTAGATTCTCACCTCAAGATTCTCATCTCAAGATGATCTATCTCTCCCCAGCCTGCCTTAGAATTCTTTCCACTACACATTGATTCGCTCTACAGGCATGCCTGGGAGATATGGCAGGTTTGGTTCGAGGCCTCTGCAATAAAAGAGGTGTCCCAATAAAATGGGCCAAAATCTTTTTGATGGTGGAGGGTCTTGACTTTAATTTGTAAAAAAAAAAACAAACACAACCTATGTGAAGCATAAGAAAGCAAACCACAAGAAAACACGGCATGCCTGTGTGTTGACTACTTGAATGTCTGTGTGGCTCAGCTCTCACATACAGCAAAGCCACCTGGGTACCTGGATCATGAGTGATTTAAGCTAATACCAATGAACTGAAGCCACCGCCTAGTCTAAACCGAAAGGTTCCTGCCACATAATGCTGTATGGAACTCTCTTCATCGCAGTTGCCCCAACTTGGTCTGACAGACTATAATGACGGATCTAGTATTAATAGAACTTAATTGGCATAAAATAATGTTTCTTCTCTGCCCTTAGATTGTGTGGCCAGTATCTTACACCAGAAGGGATGAGTGCAAGTGGGCTGGAAAAGATATTCTGGTGGGTATCAATCTATTAAATAATTTTAGTAATTGCATATAGTAATTTATCACTCGATAATCATTGTTGCTGTGCTATCTTAACACCATTCTTTACTTGTGGATTTAAATACTCTTTAGAAACAAAATATTAGTTAATTTTGTATATTTGTATTATTATGTAAAGTATTGACAGTGCTATATAAAGTAAAATACCAACAAGCCTAAATAAAGCAAAACTATGTTCCCTTTGATTCCTTATACATATGCAAAAGATAACAAAATGCAGCTTTGTAGCACATATATTAAGACAATTCTTTGTACAGATTGGCTTTAATATGTTAATTTTTCTTGAATTCCTTTTGAATTATATGAAATATTTTTGCCTCTGAGTCATCATAATTAAACTACCCCTCTTGTCTTCTTTTGATTCCTTTCTTTTTCCCTTTCTTCTTTTTTTTCTTTTTCACTTTCCCCATTGTCCTTCCTTCTTTTCTTCCTTCCTTTAAACATTCCTCCCCTCCTTCCTTGCTTCCTTTTTTTCTTATATGTTGATATTCCCAATTATCCATTGTACTTGAGCAAGTATCTTAATTTTTATTCTATTCAAATGTTTTGGCGCATTTTGAATATTATCCTAGAAGCAAAGATAAAAATTTCTGTGCCTCTGATAAAGATTTGGAGTCCTGTGGCATATATGCATTTTAATTTGCCTATTAACACACAGATAAACAATAGAGATTTGAAAAAATACCTTATCTACTCTGGTGTTATCATGATATCTAGCTCACAGAATTCCTTTAGAACGCAAACAATCACAAGTAAAATTATGACATAGACTATAATGCACAATACCAATATTAACTATTATTGTTATTATTTGTATATGTTGCTTAGACAGTGTCTAAGTGAAATTAGTTTGGTACTGCCCCTCCCCCCGCTACTCCGCTAGCCATACTGTATAATAAGAGATTCTAGTGTGAGCCCAGATGCAGTTAATTCAGCAGCTGCAATATAGTCATGATCCTCAAAGTACTGTATGGGTAGCCCTGATCATGACCTCAGAGGTTTCCTCTCTAAGAAGGGTAAGTTTATTATATTTTCCTGGCTTACTGAAAATGCTTATGGGTTTTATAAAACTAAATTGAAAGGAACTAAGACATCATTTTATAGTACCTTATAATCAAGATTCTAAGAACTTATAAATCATGTTTCATATTTTATGGTAAAGATAGGTTAGTTATGTGTCTATTGAGAGATGTAAACTTTTAAATGTTCAATGGTATGGCAATATTAGCCAAACCAATCTTTGCAAAATCAACTAACTAATGTAATACGATAGGATCTTTGTCTTTGTTATTCCTTTATGTTATGCAATCAATTTAATTGTTGTGGGTTTTAAGTAATCTTTTATAACACTTATCTAATAAAAGGAAAACCTTATAGTTCTTAGATATTTTAGTTTAAGAAAAAAATGCATTTTTCCTCTAGTTCTAAACACCAAACACGAAAATATATTTACACAGTAAAATGTATTTTATACTATTTTTCTAGTAACCCCTTTCTTTACTATTACTTTTTACTGACCTATTATTCAAAATATATTTTATGCATTTATAATTGATTTTATTAAAGTTTATTTTACTTTTTAAATAACCTCGTTTATGCACTTCAATTTGTATTTCTATTTCATTTAAATCAGATATACGGCATTGATTATTTTTGGATTATTTAGATACAGACCAATTTTTTTTTCATTTCTTTCTAATGTAATTTTAGAATAGCAATTAGTTGACTCCCTGGGATTTGTAACATTCTTCCTTGATAAACATTTCTAAATAAATAGCATACTTATTTTTACCAATAATTTCTGAAATTATCACTTAGGAATAAAGATGAAAGGTAAAGAGTTTTTTTTTTTTATAATTTTCATTCGACACCTGATTTTTGAAGTGATACATGGACAGCTTGATGGAAATTCTGCGCTCTTGCGGAAGTAATCGTCAGCTGTGACTTATGGACAGTGATTCCTTTCAAAGAGCTCTTGTGATGCTGAAAACCACAAGAATGAGGCCTGAGTGGTCTCTGCAGCCATGGGGACTCCAAGATAGAATTGTAACCAAAATAGGAACTGAGCTGAGCATTTATAGAAAAGTAAACTAATGACCTCCCTGAGTGCTCTCTTTGGTTTCTGGAACCTGAGTTTACCCTTTCTCTTTGGGCTTCAGTGTTCTCTCAGAAAGCCCTCCGGAAATAAGGCTCCTTTAAACAAACAGTCCTGGGGCAAGTGCTCTCTTCTCAGTATTAGATTCAGATGCAGGGATTCAATAGGAAAAAAACAGCAAGAAAAGCGGGGCAAAGACACTGGCTAACGTTATGTACCTTGAGCGTGGATGAAGATTGTGTCACTGAGTGTAACATCATACAGAAAACTGAACCCTTTCTCCATTCTCCCAGGCATCTGGGAAGATACAAACCATCATTTCTCATGGCTCAGTTTTGCATCAAACGCATATGTTAAGTCAGCAACTGGAATTTGAGCAGCTATTCCACAAAGATGGACTTTGTGGTAAAGAGGGAATCTGCAGCCTAAGACACAGTTACTTATATTCCTGCTCTGTCTCTCTCTCTCTCTCAAGAGAGAGAGCACGCATACATGTGTCTGAGGCTGCTGATGACATTTCTGACAACAACATTAATCTAAATTTATTTTTTTCCTCTTGTGGAAGTGAATATAGAGGATATATACCAATATGCCTTCTTTTCTTGGTGTTGTAGGTTCTAAATCTTTGTTGTGGTTTTTCTATATTACAGAAGTGAACTGCTCATGAACTTCCCCACTGTTGTTACTTGAGAGTTGTAATCTGAAAATAAAGTTATATAATATATTATATTATTGAACAGAGACTCCGAAAAAGGAAATAAATGCAATCCACATATGTCCATTCTGACTGCTATTATCCACTTTACTTTCATTTTTTTTATATAGCCCTGATGCTTAAAATCCACTTTGTTATTCACAATAACATTTCTATTGGGGGATTAACTTCCTTGACCCTGTTTTGCAAGTGAAAACTGAATACATGCTAAACTGGTAAAAGAATCTGTTTCGAATCACTCGCTCTCTGACTCTTCTTTGTTTATCCTATTAAATCATCTCTCTTTGCACTGTTGCCATAAAACCAAATGGCAACCGTATGACTGTTAGAAATATTTTGAATATCATTGGAAATCAAAATCTCAACCATCTGAGATGAACAAAAAAAATCAGATTCTCATAACATTCCTATTGTTGGATACATTTCAAAGAGTAATATTTCATGCACCTGAATTCTGGGACATTTTTGAAATTCTTGAGGGATTTATTTTTATAATTTTGTCCTTAGTTGTTATTATTCACTTGTGATGCTATCCTAGATGATAACGTTTTGTCAAATTATTCTGGCTCAAATTGCAGGACCTTAGCAACACTAATTTCTGCCACATGAATGCAATTGAGAGGTTGATGCTACCCAAGCATCTTAAGTTCCAGTGCAGCCCAAAATGCATGTTAGTCCTTGCATTTCATTTACTTTTTCAAAGGTCAAAATTGACATGTTTAATATTTTTATTTTATTTTAGGAACTTCAAGGAATTAAAAAAAATTTGTTAAATGGGTAGTTAGAATAACCTCCTCATTCTACAAAAGTCAATCATAACATTTCATTAAATCTCTAAATCCTATGTATAATTATTGAGAGAAAAATTTTCATGGGTCTCTCACACTTCTGCACACCTGATGAGAAGAAAGTACTAACTGCCTATTTTGTAGGCTATAACTAGGGATATTTGTAGTGAAAAGACTTGGAAGGCACTGTCTCTCTGTGAAGCAAAAGGCTGGTTTGCAAACAGCCTTGAGAAGTAGAGATAGGGTCTCCATTGGCACACACACACACAAACAGGTTTGCTTACTGTCCAGTAAAATGAACATAATGCCTCCCTCGAGTTCCAATACTCTTTGACTATTATGAAATATTCAGATTCCCTCCACCGAGGGTGTTTCCCCTGTAAGACAATCAATGCCAGTGTCACCTGGCTCTTTTCTCACTGCCCAGAGGGGTTTGGAGCTTGAGGAACTGGCATAAGAAATGCTGATACCATGAGTACTGCTATTTCTGCAATAAAGTCTTTTATCTCTGACCAGGAGACATATATCTTCTGCCAGCATCCATGAAACTGTGCCAGGGTAACTTATTTTACAAGTAAGACAGAAATCACAGACCCTTCACAGTTCTTGACAGTATGGATTACACTGTTTTTTGTAGACAAATGACCTCACAAATGAAAGACTATAGTCAGTTTATTCATTTTTTAATATATATTTTATTGGTTTATTTACAGAGAGGAAGGGAGAGAGGTAGATAGTTAGAAAAATCGATGAGAGAGAAACAGTGATCAGCTGCCTCCTGCACACCTCCTACTGGGGATGTGCCCGTAACCAAGGCACATGCCCTTGACCGGAATTGAACCTGGGACCCTGGCATCCACAGGCTGATGCTTTATCCACTGAGCCAAACCAGTTAGGGCAGTTTATTCATTTTTAAACATGATTCCCATGATGAAATTTGATGACACTTCAGGTAGAGATAACTTATTTTTTATGAAGGCCAGTGAATACCTTATTTATTAAATATCAGAGAAATAAGCACAGATTTTTATGTGTACCAAGATGTGAGTATATTGCTGCTTGGGGTTAAATTTCAGGTAAATTAAATAGGATTATAGTTTTAATTTGACATTCAAAAGTGGTAGTAGTAATAATAGCTAACACTATTGAAAACTTGTTAAATATACTTGGTGTTGTTCTTAATGAATTGCTTTTATTAGCGTATGTATGTAACTCATATTTGGATATGAAATACATATTTCAAAGCAATTGGATGAACTAGTTTTATATCTTAGGTAAGAGACATATATGGGAAATGAAGCTTTACCAATAAAATTACTTTAGAAACTAGGTTTTATTCTAATTTATAATTCATA